TTTATAAAGATCATAATTATATAAAAAATTATATGATCATTTAAATATAAATTTATATTTATTAATTTATTATATAAAATTTTTAGTTATAATCATTTTTCGTATTTTCGATTGTAAAAATTAAATTTTTATTATATTTTAAAAAGTATAATTACGGTTTTAAAAATAATATTAATTATATCCCAAAAAGTCAAAAATTTTTTAATATTATTTATTTATTTTTTCTAACAACTACTCTATTGGTTGAAGAGCTTGAACGTGATTAATAGTGTAATTGATCAAGTTAATATATAGCATTATAAACTCGATTTTTAATTTAAGGTTCGAAATTTAATTTGAATTTGATCGAATTTTATTTTTTTAATTTGAATTCGATTCAAGATAAAAATTAAATTATTTAAATTTGTTTGATTAGACTTGATTAATATAAATTTTTTTTTAATTTTTATATTTGAAAAAAATTTGATTATTTATATTCAAACTTGAGTTAAAAATATTTTATTAATTAAAATAATAAAAATATATTAAAATAAAAAATTTTGATTAGAGTGAGGAATTACTCGAGTTTAGTATAAAAATATCTAAACTCGACTTCATTGATAAATTAAATTATTCAAATTTAAATTCGATTTGATAATAATTCAGTTAAATTTAAATTTTATTCAAATCGAATCTAAATATTTTACAAATATTAATATATCCTTAACATTTCTCGACATGATAAAATGCTAGAAACTGATAAGAACACGTGCTAAACTTGATATGATTCATTAAGCCGTGAAAAGTATGGGATAAAATGGTGAGAGCAACCTATATTGTGTTTCTGCTCGTGCTGTGTACAACTCTTGCTTGCAGCATTACCTGGTGATGGCATCAATGAGGAACTGGTTCATTTCTCTGTGTTCACAACTATAAGTACCACTGATATACAATGTTTACCCTTGCAATTCCAAATGATCAAATGTATCATAATGAAACATTTGAAGCTCATTTGTATCAAACATCATTTCAGTTTTGATGATGAGTTTTCGTGTTTTTATGCTACAAATGAACCAATTAATTATCTATCAGAAAAAAAAAAAAGGACAAGAAAGAGATGAAATTGTAAAAAAAAAAATCATTTCAAATTTTGATTTTGAATTTGATCGACTCATTTAAGAATGAAATCTCTCAATCTCTCCCAGCTCTTTCAAGCTCTTCTTACCCAGTCTTTCAAACCCCTTCGGTTTGCTCTCTCTGCAATTTCTTTATCAATTTTTAACTTCGTACTAAGCATAAGCTTACTTTGGTAAGTTTATTTATTCCCCAACCAGCAGAAATAACAGGTGAAGCGTCGGACAGTCGGAAAACAATTGGTTGTGGTAAGGAGATCGGGTCATGTAGCTAACAAACCCGCCCCCGTTTACAAAGAGGTTATTGATTTCGTTAATTCTGTTTAATGGTTTTAATTGAAGTTAAAAAATTTGGCATTTATTTCACTTAGTTCTTTTTAATAGGTTGTTGTCGAAAAAAGTGATGATACATTGAAGGTATGCTGGTTGGAGTTTTTCACTTTTTTGTATGTTTGATTTTAGTTAGTGATTGAAACTTAGTACTATTGTTAATGATGTTTTGTGGTAAATGTAGGATATCTAAGATTTGGCCAACCGTATGTATGCTTCGGATGAAGCCAGGGCAGAGGCTTTGGAGAAAGCAGAAAGCTTAGAATCTGGTTTAGAGCCCGATTTTCCTTTCTTCATAAAGTCAATGCTTCAATCACATGTTACTGGTTGATTTTGTCTGGTTTGTCTAACAATTTAATCGAGGTTTTAATTGCTCTTTGTTGTTGTTGTTTATTCTCTCCATAGATGATAACTAGATAGCAATATCATAGATTCATTATGGCTAATGACTTCTGTGTGTTAATACATGTTTTTGAAAAATTTGGGTCTTTTGGCCTTCCTCTACATGCCAATAATCGAGATTAGAGAAGTTCTTAGTTCTTGTTCCACAAAATCGGATTTTGAAAACAAAATTATGTTTAGGGTAGAACTTGCTTATTCTTTATTCCAAAATTAAATAAAGAAGGAATTAACAAGATGATAACATAGCTTAGAAATCTATTCGTATATCCAGATTTGGTATATTGCATTTGTTTGCTGGTAACCTTTTTTTTTTTTTTTTTCCCTCTTTTGAACTGCTTCTACATCCAATACTAGAATGAATGACTTTCATTTGTGTTATTTGAACACTTCCCCTGATAGGCATGATCATAGAAGATGTGCATCATTTTTCACTTCTCATATCAGTTACCCCTAATTATAGAGTGTAGACTATAATAATCTCATTGCTGATCCATTGTTTAAAAACCGGTCTCCTATTATACTTTTGAACGTAATAAGAATCCTTTGTTAGACCAAGAAATCATGTGGTATTAGTTGGAAACTAGGAATTTTGAAAACTTTTCCTATATCTTTACTTAAGGTTAGTTGTCAGCTGATTTAGTTTGTGAGAGGATTTGAGATTGATCATTGCTGCTGATAGTGATGATATCTGCATGTTTTCACCACAAGAAAACTTGTTGGTTTTCAAATTTTAATTAGAATGAACAACACTTGACCTTCCCTTGTAATTTAGGTTCCATATGACATTCATCAGTTGGTTTTTAGAAATATGGTTTGTGATTGCAGTATACAACCCCTTTCTGTTGCCGTTGGTTTCCATATTGCTTTGACAAATCAAGGCATCTGCAATATAATGTGTGTGGATGTACAGCGTTTGATAAACCATTGGCTGTTGTATCTTTCCTTTCCAACAACATCAAATGAATCATCTTCTTTTGTTCTATATTTGTAAGACCACCCTTTGTCTATGTGGATGAGCTTTCTCTAGGGAATTATTGCAGTGAGATATATTGTGGTATATTGTTATGCTTTGATGTTTTCAAGGAGTCATGCTCACTTTTTCTTTTTGGTTTTTGAGGTTTACATCATAAGGGTGAAAGGTTCAACAAAGTACCAAACTATAAGCTTCAAACAATTGGGATGTTGGAGCCATACCAGCAGAGTTAGAGTTCGGGTAATCATTTTTGATGCATATGTACCTGCTAAAGCTAGATAATCATTAATATTTCTTAATCTCTTGAACTTTATTAGTGCTATGTTATGTAATGATTACCATCAAATTTTCAACAATTGTTATCAAATTAGAGTACGTGCAATAGAATCTTGATAAAGACATCCATCGATTCTCAAATCCACATCTTTTTCCTTGTAACTTGCAAAATGTGGAATTTGTTGCATACTTTGTTAGTCTTCTGGGTTTGGGACCTACTAAAGTTCTTAGGAATGAGACATTCACCTTGCCTCTCACTCTATTGACATTTCAAGTATGCCACATGATTTGCATATCAATAAATCTAAGAGAAAACCGAAAAGTCTATCACTGTTATCTTTTTCATGGGCCAGAAACTGGGATACTTCACTTGAAACTTCCATTTCAAACATCAAACAAGCTTTTTTAGCAAGGGAAAGTAAGACAGGTTGGATAAGAAAGGCTGGGATTGTGGTCTATATTTTGATGTAGTGATAGCTGTAGCAAGGATTTGCTGACTTAAACATGGGTAGACTCATTCAGTGCAGTCAATATACTATATCTATTGTTTTTTGCATCTACTTTGAAGCCTTCCAACCCTATGCCCCCACTGTTATTTCTTTATATCTAATCAACATTGGATTCACTTGTTTTTTATTAATTTCCCTGTTGCAGGTAAACAGGTTTAAAGGAATTCCCATTATTTTGCCTTTAAGGTTTGTCAAACCATATAGTTGAGAAAGTACTTGTCCTTGTTCATAAATTTACCTAATCCCAGGACCCGCAGATTTGTCTATTCCAGCTTTAAACTATTTTATTAACTATATATTAATCAAGTTATTATTGCGGTGGGTTTTTTAAGACAATAATTCTAGTATATATGATTGTCGATTTCGTATTTAATACGTGTAAAACACAAAATTATTAAGTTATAATTCATACTAACATATTAAATACAATTCATTGTTTAATTTTTATCGAACTTATTTAATATTAATTTTATTAAAATTTTAAATTATATCACTTTTATTTTATTTTTTCATATTATATCATTGTGTCACCTACCGTATTACGATTAATATCCTCATGTTTAACTTTTTAATGTCAGTTCCAACTTCCAAGTCCAAACACAGATAATTTCTCTTCCATATATCACTCCATAATTGATGCAACCAGCTAATATCATTCTTCTGATGTTTTCTTAGAACAAGGCAGCCCTGATTAATACATGTTGACAGGTTTCTTACCGATACAAACTCATTCCCCACATCACTCTTTTCCAGCCTTTCCAGCTTGCAATGCCAATAGACAGAACTCTTAGCTATCACTACTCAGCTTTCCATGAATCCAAAACACACCCAAAAACAAATATTGTCATTGACATCTTCATCACTTCTTTCTCACGCGCCATTTATTACAACTCTTAATCTTTTCACGCGTTTAAGAGTCCAATTGTAAAACGCAAACCCCAACGCGGTAGAGTAGAGACATTAAAGTTTTACAATCACGGGGTTACCTGCGAGTGGGATTGTTTTGGCTAATGAGATTGTTAATTGGCGCCGAGAATTTCGCGGTCGACCAGACGGACGTCGAAGGGTTAGGTTGGCGAAGACAGTGGACAGTTGGTTCCTAAATTAAGTGGGCCCATCGGTTTAGCCTGTCTGGTCCCCACCAATCTCACAACAACGTGACAATAACCGGCGGAAAAATAAAAGTTTCATTTTAAATTAAATAATATTATATTCTTTTTTCTGCTTGCTTCTCCCGTGTCGTGAGGAGCTGGAAAATTGACAAATTGACTTTGTCCCATCATAAGTTTTTTGCTATCATGCGCGTACGCGTAGGTTTGCTTAACTGGCGCCCTGGAAACGGGTAAACGTGTGACCCACGAGTATATCTCGTTGTGGGTCAGAGTCCACAAAAATAATTTCCTTATGATCTTTTGATTCTTAATCATCGTTAATCCAACGGTCAAAATGGCCCCAGCTAATGTGGGAGCCAACGGTCAACATAGCGTAACTGGATACAACGGCTTGAAAACGAAGGGGTTTTTTTTAGAAGCGCGCCGTTTTTGCCACGTCGGAAACGGCAAAAGACCAAGAAGAAAGCTGCTGCTGCATTTCCATACGAGTGTTGTTTTTTTTTTTTTTTAATCTCTTTTTTCTTTTCTCTCTTTCAGAAAAAAACTTTTCAATCAACAAAGTAAGGATTTTTTTCAGAACGCCGGGATCCGATTTTCTCGATCGCAGCGACTAATCCAATTCATCGCGTCGTCGTCTTTTCTCTTCGTGCGTAATCTCCTTCTTCCGCTGCTATCAGCCGTTTCTCTTCCTCCTCCTCCTTCCCTTCTCTTTATTCGCACTGTAATTTTCTGTTTTTCTTTTCCTTCCGATATCCGCATGGAGATTCATTTTATTTTCTGTTATGATTAATAGATTCGTAGGAATATTTGTAATGTGTTGTTGTCTACATTGACTCAGATTTTTTTTTAATTTAGTTTTTTTTTTTCGGTTTTGATGTAAAATCTGATCGTTTAAATTTTTTATGCATTAGGTTTCCTATTTTTTCGAAAATATCGATGTTTTTGCTGTATTCATTGTCGTCTAATCACTTGATTGTTAATATATAGTTTAAAACAGACGATCATTGATCGATTCAATTCTTTATTTGATGAGATTTGATTATTGAAATATGCAATGTGTATCTTTCAGGAGTTTTCAGTGCAATTCTTTGAGAGTTAAGAGGCATTGTTTTAGAGAAGGGGTTCTAGCTACGGGTGTGGAGTTTGGATTTGGAAATCTGGAAACAATGTCCTCGAAAGGCGATCATCAAACCGTGCCGCTGTCGGTTCTACTGAAACGAGAATTAGCAAACGAAAAGATCGAAAGGCCGGAGATTGTACACGGACAAGCGAGCCAGAGCAAGAAAGGTGAAGACTTTACATTGCTTAAAACCGAATGCCAAAGAGCAATGGGAGATGGTGTCACCACATTCTCAGTTTTCGGGGTATGAAGTGAATCAATGCTAATCACATACTATATGCTTTAGCACAAAGTTGCCTGCTTCACCATAAAAACTTTTAATTTGCATCAATGGAATATAAGGGTTTAGAAACTTTTGTCTGCTATGTATATTGGTGTAATTATCAGTACAATTTGTTTGGTTTCGCACAAATATACTTGTCGTCATCTATTTGCTTTTGGAAATTCTTGGAAAGATCATTTTCTAAAGTGATGCTTCTTTAATGTTCTTTATTGTTTTTTACTTTTCTCCTTTTATAGGTTGGTCATGCTAAACCATTTTTTGCAGCTCTTTGATGGACACAATGGGTCTGCTGCTGCTATTTACACTAAGGAGAATCTCCTTAATAATGTCCTAAATGCCATTCCGACGGATCTTAATAGGGATGAATGGGTTGCTGCGCTTCCAAGGGCTTTGGTTGCAGGCTTTGTTAAAACAGATAAAGATTTTCAAGAGAGAGGTATGAGATGTTTTGTTTTGCTTTTATGTAAACTATCTGAGTATAGTATATGTTTAATGGCATAACTTTTGGAAAAAAGGACTATTTGTCTAGATATAAATTTTAATTTTATTACGATTGTACTCCTCTATAATGGCTTGTTTGCTTATATCCATTAAGAGTTAGATTGTATCCTATTTCACTAAACTAACTGTTTTATTTTCTCAATATCATTCCTTTTGGTGCTGCTTTTTGCTTTCTGTGAGGTCCATCTAAGATGTGGAGTTTTACTGATTTATATTAAGAATCTCCCTGGAGAAACATGCTTATATGTAGGAAGAGTTGCAGTTTGGAAGTTGATCAATATTGTTTTGTGATAGTTGATTTGCATTATGTGTGGTTACTCTGGTGGTAAGTGTGTTAGCTATTTGGTTATGGACGTTATCTTGGAGATGTAGTGCATTCTCTTGTACAACAAAAAGGGGATAGCAGATTAGCAGATGTTTATCTCTAGATCAGCTTGTCTAATATACCTATGATCTTATTATAGAAGATCTTTAGTTTATGACTATTTTTTTCTGTAGTTAACTGATAGTGCTTGAGATGTCAACTTGAAATTGGTCTAGATATAGTGAAGTTGGCACCACCAATCAGTGTACAGCTTGATACTTTACCACCTATACAAACAGAAACACACCAGGCAGTTTCATCAATTAATTATTTTCCCTCTCTACTTATTTATGATGATTTTGCTTGAGCATAAAAGCTCACGTACAGAAGCATGTATTTCCTTCCTCCCATTGAGCGGGAATTGGGATAAAGAAGAGAAACATGTTTTAATTATGTATTTTCTCTTTTAATTTTTTTAAGTTTAGGGTAATAACTTCTTGTATTTTCTCCCACATGTTTAGCATTTGATATTTATGTTATGGTTTTCTTTCCAGCAAAAACATCGGGAACAACTGTAACCTTTGTGATAATAGAAGGATGGGTTATAACAGTTGCATCGGTTGGTGATTCCTGTTGTATATTTGAATCATCTGAAGGCGGAATATATTACTTGTCAGCTGATCATAGGCTTGAATGTAACGAAGAGGAGTAAGTTATTGACTTAGTGTTTGCTGGATTTTAAAAGTTTCCCCTAAATATTAAGGTCCTACTTCCTGTTTTCATCTTATTAGGAGGGAACGAATCACTGCAAGTGGGGGTGAGGTTGGTCGCTTAAATACTGGTGGTGGTGCAGAGGTATCTCCTCTTTTGTACAACTGTGCTTCTTGTTGTTTTTCTGGATTCTTAGCCTTTTCTTTCCAGCAGTGAAACTTAACACCCTTGAGATATATTTATGTGAATGGATGTGCAACCACAATACTTGGAAACACAATCTAGAAGCTAGTTTCAGACATTACAGGACTCTGTGGACAAGTATACCAGAAAGACATTAAAACTTGATAATTGATGTGAATTAGAGGAGTCCTTTGTAAAACTTACTAATTATAGCTGTAACAATTGTAATTAGCAGCAACTCTTTATGTATCTATCTTGTTTAGAAGTAGATTTAAGAAACATGATATTGACATGCTTGTAAAAGATGCTAAATAGGTTCTCCAAGGAGAATTTCGGTATCTGCAGTCGAGGAAAAAACTGTGCTTGATTAATTGTGTGGGTCAAAGCTGGTGACCTAATGGTAAAGTTATTTTGTAGATTGGTCCTTTGAGATGTTGGCCTGGAGGCTTGTGCCTTTCACGATCCATTGGCGATATGGATGTTGGGGAGTTCATTGTTCCTGTTCCATACGTAAAGCAAGTAAAGGTTTGTTTTAATCTACCTGCACACTCTATTTGATATCTGTTATTTCTTGATATAACTTTTGAGCTTAAATATTGTTTTTTGTACATTTCCTTTCAGAGCCCCTTGTGAATATATTTTTTTCCTTATGCAACTTTGATAAGAAATTGGATATGTACTTGGCTTTAATGAATTTCCTTGAACTTGGGACCAGTATCTTTTCTGAATTCATGATAGTTGAAGGACATAGTAGAGCTATTAATTTCATATCCTCCTGTGTCCCATACTCACACATTGAAGTGCTTTTGCATTTGGATTTTTTCTCTCTTAATATTTTTTTTACCCTAGTCGGCTAACTGTTTACCCGTGGTAGTGTTTTTCTCAAATTAGAAAACCTTTTCCTTGACTTCTATTGTTATTAATAGTGTATTTTACGTACTAGTTATTTTCTGCAGTTGTCTATGGCTGGTGGTAGGATGATTATCTCCAGTGATGGTGTTTGGGATGCTTTATCAGCTGAAGTAGCTCTTGATTGTTGTCGCGGAATGCCACCAGATGCTGCCGCTGCACAGATTGTGAAGGTACGTTCCTGAATTATATTTGTCTACACTATGCTCTTCAAATGTTGCTGCTGGGAGCACTATGCCCTTCTGGCTTTGCAATATTTAGTATCAACTGCCTTTCTTCATATGTTTTCTGATTCCTTGGTCTCCAATGAATAGGAAGCTTTACAAGCGAAGGGTCTTCGAGATGATACAACCTGCATTGTTGTTGATATCTTACCACAAGAGAAGCCAGCTGCTTCTTTGCCACCACCAAAGAAGCCCGTAAAAGGTATGTTCAGGGCCATGTTTCGCAAGAAGCCTTCTGAATCGTCTTCTCATGTTGATAAAGAATATATGGAGCCAGATGTGGTGGAGGAATTATTTGAGGAGGGATCTGCTATGCTTTCAGAAAGGTTTGTGCTTATGAGAATCCTGTATTTGTTGAAATATGAAATTTGTGCTTTGATTGTCATTTCAAGGATCAGACCATATATCTTTCATTTGCATCTGTTCTGTGGGGCATAGCTTTCTATGAATGAGGACAAGATGGTGTTGTTTGTAGTTTTATCTCACGAGGAACACTTCTGCTGGATACAGGTTGGATACAAAATATCCATTGTGCAACATGTTTAAGCTGTTCATGTGTGCAGTCTGTCAATTAGAGATGAAACCTGGAGAGGGTGCTTCAATTCATGCTGGCTCATCTAATTCAGTAAAGTTGCGTCTGTGGGATGGTCCTTTCCTTTGCTCTAGTTGCCAAGAGAAGAAAGAAGCCATGGAAGGGAAAAGACGATCAGGAGGTAATGACAGAACTCCCTCGCTCCCTCTCTCTCTTTCTTCTTTGCAAGTTTATGTTACTAAAAGACCCTTGAATTTTTTTTTCTTGTTTCTCCTGTTTTTCCTGTTTCCAGATAGACATAGTAGTGAAAGTGACTAGCTAGACGTCTCCAACTACTGTTGCGTTTTGTGTTCACTAACATTTGTTTTGGAGGTGGTCATAAATGGCAAAGATGACGCATTCTCACTATAGTAACTCCCTTCAATTTCTTATTGGGGGGCATCAAGTATTCTGCAACTGAGGATCCATTTGGATCTATACTCCAAGTCAGAAGAGCAGAGTTGAAATGTGTGTTTAGATTTCTGTTTTCTGGCTTCAGGAGTGAGAAGACTTGTGTTTACCTAAAGTGAAAATTGAAAAAGAAAATGAGAAAAGATAGGCCGGAGGTTTTGATAGACTCGGCAGTGCATAGTGGCATGCCTCAGAGGTAATTCTTTTTTCCATCAAAGTTCATCCTATTGTATACCAGTCACTCCAAATTTATAGAGCTAATGCTAAATGATTGTTGATTTCAGTGTATGTTATAATATATAGGGAGTTTGATGAGTATTCAATACAAAGAAGTTAGGAAAAAACTTGTGTGGGTAGTTTGCTGAATGAAATTTGTTCATGTTTCATTGATATTTGTTCCTTCCTTTTACAATTGGGAAGGTAATCTTTGGAATAGAAAAAGTTTCAATCCCATTATTTTTTAAGCAATGCATTCCTCTTAACTGGAGGCTTCTTCATCGGGATATATGCCTAGCTCAAAAATTTCTGGTTCTATTTTCAATTTATTTTAATTAGCTGTCGTTGGTTAATCTTTAGCGATTAGCCATGCACATGCTTAGTTTATGAGTATTATGTCTTGATGTTCTATGATGATACCTAGTAGCTGGATCTTGCCGTGTCTGAGGATGGATATGTTGAGCACAAGAGTGGTGGTGTGTGTTCACATGTCACAGTTGGGACCAGCTTTGCTGTGGGGGACGGCACGAGTAGACACCTCTTGGCAGGAGGATGTTGACTCAGTTAAGATACATGTGAACTCACTTTCCACGCCCCCTCTCTATAGCATTCAAGTTTCCTTAAGAAGGCAAGTTCCCTACTTCTTCCCTCATTGTTCACATTTTGCTTTAGATATGTAGAACAGAGGGAAACAGAGGGAGATCACATATCAGATATGCAAAACAATAGGAGTTTTCAGAACAAAAACTTTGCATAGAGAAAACATCCAAAGGATCACATCATATGAGTTTCTTTCTTGGTTGCATGTTTTTATGATAATAAGATTTTGAAAATCCGTAAGGAAAGAGAGCGGAGAGTGGGGAATTGTTGGCTTTTCTTCTCCCATTTGACTATTTCTGTCTTGGGGGGAGATATTGAGTGGCTAGCGGCAAAAGCAGAAAAAGGGAGAGCTTCCCCACCCAAGGATCTTTATATGGGTTTTGAACGTGAAATCTTTGTTTTATGTCCTGTTTTCTTCTTCCCCTTCCCTTCTTATCTCTAGAGAAACAGAATAAGATTTTGAGTGGCGAAGATGAGTCAGTCCACCAAAATAATGCCTCCATGATTGAGATGTTGACCTTAACTAAATGAACAAAATTCCTCCATAGGCAGTCTATTATGGAAGGACCACTTTCAACACGTGTGTGTGGGTCTACCATCTCACCTAACTGTGGAAGTTTTCTTCCATCTTTACTTTCCTTCCCCAATCCATCTTTCTGATTACACTACATCCCACACCCTCTGATCTTAATCCGACGCTTCGAACTTCTTGTCACAAGATCAAATGTTGACCAATCTGCACATGGTGGTTGTTCTTCCTAGTCTATATTCTTAAATTGACTGATGAATAAAAACCATTGCACCAACGCTGCTTTTACAATTTGCCCGTCATAACCAAGCCAAAGCTCTGTCACTCCTGTTGAGTTCCTGATCAAACGTCAATGGTGGGGTCGTCTTCTCCTCCCCTACAATGAAACCATTTGCATTTTACACAGTGCTAGGTCAGACCTCTCTGTTTATCTAAATTCTTTAAATAAATCTTCCACCAGGAATCAACTCTTAACTGCAGAAAATGTTGGATATGACGCGTAATGATCAAAATTAGCTTACAATAATGAATGTGGTATGTCAACTCGGGTCCATTCAAAGAAAATTTTGTATAAATGCAAATCAACATGATTAAGAAAGGGAAAAGAAGAACGTGTATTTCAAATTTGTTGAACCATGGAAGTAGACTCGGACTTTAAACATTTAAGACTTCAAAAAGTTGTTTGAATGACATCATTTCCTTGTCAAGATGAGCTTTTTGAAACAACCTCGTTTATCCCAAAACAACATACTAAATGAAATCTCAACTCAAAAACAAACTTTCCCATTGTTAACTTGCGTGCAAAAGGAGAAGATAGGTTACTCCCGGTAACAATGAAAGGAAAAAAGTGTTTGGTTATATATTCCAATCCCAACTTTCTAAGATTCCTCTTGAAATGAATGCACATCTTTCTGTGTATATTGAACATGACTCACTTTTCTATTTTTTTGGCCCCTCGGCCTTCCCAGTGGCAGAACAAGTCACACAAACACATGTATATATAGACATAAACCCAAGCATAAAAGTTTTGCTTTGCCATTCCATCTGCCTGTTGTGGGCAAATTTGGATTTGTGCGATCTAAATTTCTTTTGATCAGAAGTTCAAAAGCTGTAGGATTTGACAAGGACCCACCAACCCTTTTGAAACAAACCGCTAAACGTATCGTTTCATCTCCTTGGAGCCCCAATGGCCACCAGACCCTTTCTCTCTATTGAAGAATAATGCAAAAAAAAGTAACCAAATATTTATTTGTAAAAAAGACACGTTAAGCCCAACTGCAGTTTGACAACAAGCTCTCTCTACCCCCAGCACCTCCTGATCTCCTTATCCCCAACTCTATCTCAAAAGTTTTAATAATCCATAAACAAACTAACCCAAAGGGAGAAAGAAAAAGAGAATTTTATTTCAGATACTGAATCATTAGTCTTTTGGGGTAGCTTAAATTGCAACCATGGATACTTATCAGCAGCAAAAGACCTGGGAGAAAGTTGTAGACAGGAAGCATGGAGAAGGCAAAAATGAAGGTTCAGCAGATAAGCAGCAGTCATCAATATCCCTTGCTTCACCCCCTTCAGCATCTGCATCTTCCTCTCCTTCTCATGAATTTTCCTTTACAATCTCTCTCCACTCTTCCTCCAATACAGTCCCTGATAAAACCAAAACGCCACCTTCAATTGCAATCGATTTGTCTCCAGCAGATGACATTTTCTTTCATGGCCACTTGCTTCCTCTCCACCTTCTTTCACACCTCCCAGTATCTCCGCGTTCCTCTACAAATTCATTGGACAGCTTCACCCTTCCCATAAGAGAGTTGTTAGATGACCAAAAACCTGATAAAAGCAGCAGCAATTGTAGCAAAAGCGACAGCAATATCAGAAGCAGCACCTGCAGCAGCAACAAGAACCATGTCCATGACAGATTTAGGAACCATCATCATCAAAGCCACAACATTGAAGCAAAAGGTAGGAACAAGTCCAAATCCTTCTCTTTATTTAGTTTAACAAGATGGCAAAAAGAGCGTGACGTTAGACAAACACAAGAAAAAGAGAAGCACAAGAAAAAGATGAGATTCGACGTGAGTCATGTGTTAAGGAGGTACGTGAGGATAGTTCGTCCTTTATTGTTCTTCAGAAGAAGGAGGGAGAATCTCCAACTCCATCAACAAGCTTATTCATTTTCAGGTAATTTAAGTTTGAGAAACAAAAAACAAGAGTTGAGAGGAAGGAGAGGAGAATATTCAGCTCCTGCTTCAATGAGGACATCTCCTACAAATAGTGGTCTTCTTGTTGCAACCACAGGTTTTCCTTCTTCAACCAGTGACAGCACCATGGAAGAGTTGCAGGCTGCAATTCAAGCTGCAATTGCCCATTGCAAGAATTCCATTGGAGGGGAAGACAAACTCAAATGCTAGGCCTAATTTTGATAATTTTTCATAGTTATTCAACTTCTATTAGTTATATTACTTTTTTATTTTTACTGCAAAGTTATATTTTCCTGTGTATAAAATCGCACATATAAAGGATTATGAAAGAAATTAGTTTGAAAAAAAAAATTAAGATTACTTTGATAAATTTCTACATCTTAAAATTAAAAACTGGTGCTTTTCTAGACTTTACACTGCAGAGTCTGCCATAGTTGGGTGACAAGTAACAATTTGAATGACAAAGATTTGATGAGGATTCAAAAATCTATTCACATGATTCATTAGTTGCATTAAATTAATAAAGAAAGTTGTTCAATTCCCAGTATGTTAAATATGAGATGGCATTTATAATGCACAGTGAGTTTTCTTTTCCATTTTTTTTTTTTTTTAAATCCAACTACCCTGAGTTATATAGTCAATGGAATGCCGCTGACAGTATAACTCATTTTTTAAAATTTTCTTCTTAAATTAGTATATATTATAATCCTTTGATGAATTCAAAACAATGGGATTTTTGGTAACCTCTGTTTGTTTCTACTAAACTATACTAAATCATATTTTTCAATGATTAACCTTAGCACAGACCATGGGTCACAATTTTTTCAGTGAAGGGATGAACACATCATCACCAAACCTATCATTATTTCATTTGTTCATTTTGCTTGAAATTGTTCTTTCTTTAGCATTTTTCCATGAATCAAACTGTGTTTGTAAGAGCCCACAGGAAAAGGCAAAGTTAATATATGCTGAGAGTAGGGGAGGGGAGTAAAGCCAAAAAGAGCACAGTGATTTCTTTTTTCTTCAGTCCCTACAAGAAAAGGCAATCAAAAGGGAACAAAAACCATTTATGGTTGTAAGTGCCATAAAAAGAAGTGGTATCAATGGGAGTTTCAAAAGAGCTGTGGGACAACTGACCTGACAGCTTCAGAATTACACAAAAGCAACAAGTACAATAGTTTGCATATATAGCTATCAACAATGTTGGAGCTTAATATCAAAGAACATGATTCATTTGAGTGCTACAAGCATACAATTAAAATCCCATGATATTGACGAGGACGATGATATATTGTAATGATGGCAGCCATTGACTGAGTTCTTCCTTTTTCTCTTTTCCAGGGCCATTTTTATGATAGATATTTCATGATATACAGTAATGGAAGTGCTTTTCCTTATTGTTTAATCATCACGCCAAAGTTACACAGTCTATAGAAGCAGGAAAAAAAAAAGAGAGGAGGGGGGCTGAATGGCTGAAGATCTTCTTCCACGGGAGAAGATACTCTTTTTGGAGTATGTGTGCATGAGTTTACACACCTGCATGCATTGCTGAAATTAGTTAAACTAATTAATATTATACTTTATGGCAGAGATTTTAGATACAGGATGATTATATCTGAAATCATGGGAATTCCTTTTTTCAAACAGCAAAAAAAAAAAAAAAAGAGGCCCCACAAAAAGGTGATGGCTGCAGGGCTCAAGAAAGAAAAAAAAACCCATGATTGGAATTCTAAACAATCATGATGTGATTGGAATTCTAAACAATCATGATGTGCTACAGCCAGCATATAAAATTATACTATATATGCATGTCTATTCCATGCAATGTAGCTTCTTTAATTTCCTGAACACAAAGTTAGGAAAAGAAGCAGCCAACAAAAGAAGATAAACAGAAATGGAAACAAAATCAGATTGTTTCTAATGCTACCTGGATTTGTTTGTTTCATTGTAATTTTCCAGAAGAAAGTTACTGTAACATTATTCAATGAACATGAAACTTTTAACTCGAGACAATAGTAGCAGAGATACAAAATTCAATGAACATGAAATAAATGAAAGCAAAGGAGCATCTGATTGTGTGTGGTACACTTTCCCATCAATTATAAGGAAGAGAAAGACATTGAGATTGCTGTGATCATATGATGTGTCTATTTCATTGGACCAATAGGAAAATTTCATATCTTAAAAAATCTGGAAAAACAAGTGTTGGAGAAAATTTCATGGAAGATTTCCATTTGACCAGCAAATTCTTTCTTCTTTCTTTTCTTCCTAATCTTTCTAAAGATCAGAAACAATTTTTGATCATTTTATTATGTGTTTCTTTTGAGTTTTCAGAAACAGATAAATATATCAGAAGAAATGAGAGCTTTCTAACATATAGCAGTTGGTACAAAGTTCCAAAAAAAAAAAAAGGGTTGGATGCATTTAATCATTTGATTAAACGTCTAATATAATTTCAAGGCCTATTCATCAGATAATAACAACTAGCAGCTGTCAACCACATGTTTGAAAAATGATCACTTGGAGCACAAGATACAAAAAACCACAACCATAAAAGGCTCCATCTGTGGTTTACAATCTTGGCCTAGACTACTTACCTGCTTAGGAAAAATCATCATTTGGTTAATAATTGTACTATCTTGATTTGCTCTGCCTTCGAATTCGAACGCCAAAGAATAAGTTTATGGACCAATAGTGAAAGTTCCATACATTTTTTTGAGCGTTTTAATTCAGGCTAGCTAGGCTGACCCTGGCGATTTTAGGCTAGCTATATTGTTAGTTGGGCTTTTTTTCGTTTGATTTCTACTGCTGTTCAGAGCTCAAGGGAACCACACTGCCTATGAACTGGCCAGGTTGGGCTGGCCCATATATATACCCACAAGCCCTCTTCTTCTTCTTCTTCTTCTTCATCTTCTTCTTCTTTAATACTCCTACTGGCACTTTTTAATTGTCGTTATTAGATCCAAATGCCTTTTTCCAAGCTTAAACCTTCAAAAAATTGCCAGTATTCCATCAATAACTTACCAGTTGTTCTTACAAATGAGATTCGAACTTGAAACCTTCAATTCACTCCAAGATTCAATACCATTCACTAAAAGTTCATTCCAATATTTGCTTACGATTGTTCAAAATAAAATAGTAATAAACTAAGATATTTGCATAGTACTTAACTGATATGAACACAATCAGATATTTTATATCAGCCGCCACTGGAAAATGTTTGCTACTTTGAAACTTTGACGAAGAAATTCTTGATTACCACACATACACTGGCAATTAACCTATCGGCTCCAGCAACAACTTGTCTAGTAGTCTACTCTACATACTAACAGTTCCAAAATTTATCAGACAAGTGGCCGCAATAAGACAGCGATCCGCCTAGCAGCTTTCATCCATAAATACCTTGCTTTCGCACCTGTAGATGAGACGCCAAAATTCCAAAGTTAGCTGCTCAATTAGATCTTATCAAACAGGTCGGATCTATGGTTAGTCGACAACCAACGTCAACTTGTTAACCCATCATCAACATCAATATTTGAAAGGAAAACTCTACCATTTAAACTTTGGCTACCAATAGCCAGCAATTTTGATCCGTTTTCCGCGTTGTTTGCTGTCTTTACCAGTCATTGAAAAGGATTTTGATTATCCTAATGATTGTCATGATCATGTAGTTTCATTATTAGACTTTTCAATTTGTTCTACCATTAATGCCTTCATGCATTAGTTTCAATATTGCATTGTGATATACTCGGTATCTGCAACTAATTTGTCTTCACCTTAAATTTTTAATATTCTGACCTTGAGAATTTTGGAAGAAAATTAATTAGAAAATATCTTCAATTTTTTTTAATATTTAAAATTATCAATCTTTGAATTTTGATCGTTCAAAGTAAGAATCCAATCCTTTATCAAACTTAATTGAGAATTAAGAAATTTACCCAGAAATCTTCCATGCAATACTATTTATGTATTTATTGCAAGATGATAGAATTATAGAAGTGACCAAGCTAAGTTTCGGCCTGGAATGCAAACAGGGTTGGCCCATGTTGTATTTTCTGTATTTTTTAATCTATTCTATTCCTCCGCAGACCCATTTTTCCTTTTATTTATTTATTTTTTAATAATGGACACATGCATATTTTCCTTTATTGTTTGCATGACCCATGAGGAACCAACACATCAGCATCTTCGTTTATTAAAGTTAACAAACTTAGGCTAATACTCGAGTAAGAGACATCAATTCATCCTGCCATAAATTCAAGTTTTTAAAGCTCCAGGACCAACGGACACGACAGCTTAACCTTATCTGCTAGCTGGGCCCAGTATATTTGTAAATAGTAGTGTCTGTTTTCATTATTACTGATTAATTGAAATAAAATCAAAGTTCCCAACAACCAAGTGAGATACGCCACATCTAGACTAAAAACTTTTTAGGTAACAAGAATCCTATATATATTTATATGTTATAATTTTGAAAAAAATTCCATATATAATCATTGTAAAATTTTATTGTCTCAATATTTTTCACTACGTTACAAAAGTTTACATTTCATGCTTGTAAAATAATATATCTTGTTGGGGTTTGTTCCTAAATGCCAGTACCATTTCCTTGTCTACTGCATCCACAAGGTTTCTTTTTTGATTGTCTCAAATGGGATGTTATCTTCATCCATGAATCCATGTCATGTTTCACGTTAGGTGTTTTGTGTTTTTTGGTCCCGCAAGAAAGAGAGAACATTCTGTAAGTCTAGCACTCTTTACGCCGAACTCAAGGCTCTTGCTCTCATGGCATCTCTTTTTCTCTCTCTCGACATTTGGAAGTTAAAACACCAACAAAAGAAAATCTCTCTCTCTCTCTTGACACCACGAAACTGTTGGTCTCTCTCTCAAGTTTAAAGCCTTTCCCTTTTCCCAGGTTTATTTCATTTTCTTTTTGTTAGTTTCTGAGAGAGATAAAGTTTTTTTTTTATGTGCCTTGGGATTTGAATATGCAATAGTTTCTGGGAACATTCCAAGACTTGTAAAAAACGAATATGCTTTAATTCCGACACTGCCTTTCACCCTTTAGCGGTTGGTTTTTTATTTGGTTTGCTTAGCCACTTATCTGTTTCTTTTTTATTTTGTGTTGAATTTACAACTGAGAAACACACTAAAAAAAAAGAGAAAGGGCGAGTTTCTCAGCCTTTTTTTCTTCTTTGGTTATGCTTTTCTTGTTTGTTTCTTATTTTTGAGTTACTTTTAATTGAACAATTGCCAAATTTATGCGTTTCGTCTATGTTTACTTTGTTCATTATAAGGACTAAGGAGGTTTTGTCTCGTTTTAAATGGTGCGTTATTGTTTCTTCAGCTAAAAGAGCATCTGTGTTTACTCTTTTGACTGATTGGGGTTCTTTAATCATGTATTGATAATTGAGATTTTATAATCTGGCTATTTTCAGAATTTAAAGCTCTAGAAATTTTCAGTGAGATTTCCAAAATCTCACTTGTCAAAGGCAGGAGGATATACGCGGTGGGCAGGCTAGGTAGCTATATCTCCCGCGGTGTTATACTGTTTCTGGTCCCTTTCATCCCTTTGGTGTTGCTGTGGATATAATTGTAGTGGAACAACCAGATGGGAGCTTCAAATCATCTCCTTGGTATGTTCGGTTTGGTAAATTTCAAGGGGTTTTAAAGACAAGAGAGAAGGTGGTTAGCATCTGTGTTAATGGTATTGAAGCGAATTTCCACATGTTTCTTGATCATAAAGGGGAAGAATAATTTCTCAGGGAGGTAGATGTTGAAGAAGGGGAATCTGAAGCTGTATCATTTCCTTTTTCTTCAGGCGAAGAGACGGATGAGCCATCGTCTGGTAATAGGAGGCCAATGAAGTCCAAAAGTTGCAACTATGATGCTGATAAGTCAAGTCAAGTCAAGTTAATGTGAGCAATGGGAAAACTGTGGCTAGGACCAGTCCCCAACGATCACGGATATTTGGGTTTGTTTTTGGACAGAGGTCGAAAAAGGAGGGTGGTTACCTTGAGGGATGCGGTGGTGCTGGTGTAATGAGGGTAGGTTCATTGGAGCGGGCTGAGATTGCCGCTGAGCTGTTGGAGATGAAGTGGTCTACAAATCTCGCCTCTAATAAATCAAATAATAATGCTTCCCGATTTTCTTCTGCGAATGATACATTGGACAATAAGGGTTCTGAAGAGGAGATGCAGATTAATAATGAAGAAAACCAGTTTCACTCTTCTGTACTAAGGAGCAAACCGGTATTGATCACCAGACATTACTAGCCGAAACTGGCTTCTGTAACAAGCAAAACGTCAGCTATTCTCATTCTGGCCTTGAGAATGTAAAGTATTCTGTTGAGGAAGCTAGCATACGAGCGTCTTGTGTAAGCACCGAGCAACAAATTGTTGGAAACTCCTCGTTAGGTGAAGGTATGGAAGATAAATGCAAAGTAATAGCTAATTTATCAGGAACTATTGAGGATCATAGCGTGGGTGATAATGAAATGGGTGATAACAATGAGAATGAGATGGGTGATGTCTCAGGGATGAATGGTCCTGA